CAACGTGAAAAACGTGCACAAAAAGACAAGGACAAAAGGACAGGAACACATAGGACGCAGACTGGTGCACACTCACAACTTGATCTATTGAACATAAAAGAAAAAGGATCAGAGAAATCAGAAAGGCTGTGTTCGGAGAATGCGAGCTTCAAAAACCAGGGCATGAGCAAAAGATGTCAGGTAGACTGTTTTACAGACACTTTGGAAATAACAACAGCCTTTCCATGTAATACGGTGGTGAGTTCATTCTGATTGAACATCCTGAAAAGTAACAAACAAAAAACAAGGAATAAAAGAGAGGAATACATACACTACATACGAGTGTAGACTCCCAACTCACAAATTGGAGAAGAAAAAAAATAAAGAATGCGAAAGGAGCTTTAGCAAAAGTTCGAACAGGTCCAAGTGGAATGTGCTAACTCCCACCCATATGCATAAGACTGTAAACACAATTTTCTCGGCAGCTCAGGTAACGGACGGATGTGCGGACACATTGGTCGCCCATACTAAGAATAATAAAGGCCTAAAATAATCCCCTTGTATGGTTTTCACAGTATCTGCTAATTATTCACGATTTCTCTAGAAGCCTCGTCCCACTAGAGCGACAAACACCGATTTTCGTCCGACGACACCACAAAGTTCCATGTCGCCGATGCTGTCCCACTGCAACGGCCAACGCCCGCGACAAATAATAGAGGCGGAGGGCACCGCGCTCTTCCAGACATTCTAGTTTACCAGTGAACAATACGGTGGAGGCAGGCAATCAAACAACCCCCCTTCCCCTTTCCGCCTCGCCTCCACCCGCCGGCGGGCCGGCCCCCCCGCGCGCCCGCCGCTGCCGCGGTTTCCCCCCCCCCCCCCCCCCCCCACCCCGCGCGCGCCCGCCGCTGCCCAAGCGCTGCCGCGATTTCCCCCCCCCCCCCCCGCCCCCCCCTCCATCTCCCCAAACGTTCCGCCGCTACTGATGGACCTCGAGCGAGTATGCAGCCTATTTGTGAGCGAAGAAAAACAGCCTCGCATTACCCCATTCGCGCACAATTAGTAATACTGGTAAAAGCAAGCGATCTAGACAATAACAAGGATTTTGAACGGAGGAAAGAATAATCTAGCCCTAACAGACAAAGAAAGGAACTTACTTTGGAACGACCGTACCATGATCTTGGCTGTTGAGCAGATTTGACGTAGTTCCACGGCTCACAGTCGCTTCCTTCTTGTTTAGACACATTTGAAACTAAGATAAACTCCACGCATCACGACTAATCGGTGAATTGACCTGAAGACAGAGATATGAAAACCCACACGCCCGGCCAAACGTGCAAAAGGGCTGTGGATTGGATTGGATTGCATTGGTTGGCTCTAATGGATATCTAGTGACTTTACGGAAACTATCTTCAACACGCTTGCAATAAAACTACCAGCAATGCAAATTTAAAAAAAAACATTAGTATACACATTAATAATAACTTATTTAGCATGTAAACATTGCCACAATAATATAAATGCGTCCTGAACACGTAGCAAAAAATTAAATACGAAACCACCGCACAATGTATCCAACCGACTTTAGCAGACGTATAATCTTTTAAAACATCAGACGCTCTGTATGTCGGTTTGGCTTTGGTTGTTAACGCGTCCTGCTGGTAACCTAGTGGTCGGTGGTTCGAATCCAACTAGAGGGAACGTTTTCTATTTTTTTTTATCGCGTTTTTTGCTTGTTTTTATTATTTTAAATATTTGCTGTGTTTTTTGCAGTCGCCGGCCCCTACTTTAGGGTAAAAGTCACGCAGAATGTGTAAATAAAAAGTGCGAGCCCAAATTTGAGTTGATGCAATGCACAAACCGTGGCCCTCCTGTTTGCCGGGATAAATCGCTCCCTCCGTGCTAATAATAGGTTGGTTGGTGTAGTACGCAAACAGCGGAAGTGCTTTCAACGAAGTAAAGAAGCTAATAATAATGGGAATATTGAGAGAAAAATGGGAAAATGTGTATGTAAATGGTCAAACTGCCACAGTGATGCAGCCGAAGTTTGTCTGAAGGCGGTCACCTTTAGCCACTATTAAAACAAAAATACCGCTATTTTAAGGCAGTTATTTACCTGAGCTCATAGCGCGCTACGTATTGAGCACATCTCTTAATTTTCTGAGTTCCGGAAAGTAGTACTTAATTTTGTTCTGGCACATCAGTGATATCCATCGCCTGCCCCTGGTTTTACTTATTGAGGTTGTGCTCCGCAATTTTACTTTTTTATTATGCCTATAATGTTTTTATTCCTGAGATCGAAGAACAGTGCGGATAAATAAACTAGCTTTCAGAAACGATATCGTTCGGTGTGATAACATTTATGTTTTGTAGCGCCAAGGGGTCACATTCACAAACCCGGCAGTGTAAACACCCACAACGCCCTTGTGTTTCCCGTTTTATCGTGTTAAAAAAAAAAAAAAAAAAAGTTTTTATATTTACTTTTTTTTGGTGCGGTATGTCGTATAACATAAGCTATCGGGGACAGATCATCTGGCTATGTGAACATTTGAAATATTTCTGTTAGATGTTCGTAGCTACCACAGAAAATAGTCGATTCTTGCCTGAAATAGCATATTTTCACACTCAATTAAAATCACCAATAACATGATCTCAAGAAAGTTGTGTACATCTCGCAGCGTCATAAGCAAAACACACATCTCTTTCTTGTCCAGATTCTGCAATGTAATGCAAATTACTGTTTTTGTCACTCAAAGCGCGTGCTCAATCATGCCACGTGTTTGTTAATTGTGGTTGTTGTTTTTCACTGGGATTCTCTGCTATACCGTTTTTATTTTATTTTTCTTATCAGTGCCAAACACGTGCGTATACCACCGACCTTAAGTATAGTGCATCAAATTAAACTAGCTTCCTGAAAAGGTGTCGTTCGGTGTTGTGTAATTTATTCTTCATAGCGTAGGTGGTCAGAGTCTCGAATCCTGAACTGCAAATGTTCCACGCCGCATTATTTTTTCTCGCGTTTTCGCGATAAAACACGTCAGCCCTGCCATGCTGGGATCAAATACACCAGCGTCGGCAGTTATTTGCGAAGGATTGATCTACGCAAATATTTCCACTCGCTATTCATGAATTGCCACAGTTCGTCAAAATCTGGAGGACTTGACTGCATAGTAAAAACGGCAAAAAAAAAAAAAAAAGATAAATCGATGTCGGTTAGGAAACGGAACTTCCATGGCGGGGCTCGCCAGCCTGAACAGCAAAGCGCCGATGCCGGCCAGTAACTGAACTTCCGTGTAAATACTGGCCATCAAAGACAGCAAAGTGCCGATGCCGGCCAGTTACTGAACTTCCATGTAAATACTGGCCATCAAAGACAGCAAAATACCAATGCCGGCCAGTTACTGGAACCTCCATAGAAAGACTGGCCAGCAAAGACAGCAAAAACCCGATGCCGGCCAGTCACTGTAACTTCTTCGGCGGAACTGGCCAGTGAGCAAGACGAAACCCCGACGCCGGCCGTGGCCGGTAGCTCACCGGCACCAATGGCCGGGCGCCGCCATCCTGTTACCGGGACCGGCCGGCGTAGTCCCGATACCGGCCGACGCGGTGCGCTACCTGGGTAAGGGTGGCACCTTAAGTGCTACATCTCGTGAATTATGGTTATCAAGATAAGCGTTTTTGACCATCTCCTTCTAATCAATTTGCGAATGGTATTTCCAAGGGGCGTTCAGAATAACCCTGCTATGAAAGGAAATGTCACTTTAGTGGTAAGATATGTCATCCCGAAACTACTAATGAAAGCAAAAAAGCGCCGAAAAAATATACAGGGACACAGACGAAGGGAAACAGGACAAGGCGCACTCTCAACTGATGTTTATTGAAAAATTCACACGTTATATAGCCACACACACACAAAAAAAAAAAATCATTTCTTTTTTATCTACTCAGCCCGCGTTTCAAAAATTCAAACTCATTTGTAGATAAGGATACCGACGTGTCACTTATACAATTCTTGTCTCTGGTCCTAATTGCATACGCCTCGTGTAATTCCCGCGACACTTTATCTTTGTATCTAGCCAAAATCTTGGTGTCATTGAAGGCCGGGGTGCAAGAGCATCTATTGCAATGAATTGCAAGGTGCCCCGAAGGCGTCGTTCTTGTAGAGGCAGCGTGCTCTCGGGTGCGATCATTAACGCACCTGCCCGTCTGGCCCACGTATGTCATCCCACACGTCATGGGGATTTCATAGACGACGCCAGTGGCACATTCAACGTACTTATTTCGATGAATGAATGTGCCACTGGCGTCGTCTATGAAATCCCCATGACGTGTGGGATGACATACGTGGGCCAGACGGGCAGGTGCGTTAATGATCGCACCCGAGAGCACGCTGCCTCTACAAGAACGACGCCTTCGGGGCACCTTGCAATTCATTGCAATAGATGCTCTTGCACCCCGGCCTTCAATGACACCAAGATTTTGGCTAGATACAAAGATAAAGTGTCGCGGGAATTACACGAGGCGTATGCAATTAGGACCAGAGACAAGAATTGTATAAGTGACACGTCGGTATCCTTATCTACAAATGAGTTTGAATTTTTGAAACGCGGGCTGAGTAGATAAAAAAGAAATGATTTTTTTTTTTTTGTGTGTGTGTGGCTATATAACGTGTGAATTGTTCAATAAACATCAGTTGAGAGTGCGCCTTGTCCTGTTTCCCTTCGTCTGTGTCCCTGTATATTTTTTCGGCGCTTTTTTGCTTGCAATGAACCAACTGGCCCAAATCTCCACTTTACTAATGAAAGATCCTCGCTAAAAAAAGTTATATGATTGATTTTTGAGCAAGTGTATAGCAGAAGGAAAGACAGTTGTCATTATGAATTTATTTGGTGAGTGGGCCAGGAGAAGGAAATCTTGTCGACAGTGATAGAAAAAGTTATAGGATAGGTGAATTATATCACCTCCCCTGCGCACTCCCTGTATTTTCATTACCAGTTTTCATCGAGCGCAATCACGCATATTTGCACAAAGCAAGTAAAATCATAAATGTAGGCAAATAAAATTGCACACTGGCGCAACCCTTTTTTGAATTTTATACTAGCTTGAAGGTAAATTCATTCAGGATGTCTTATCATTCTAAAGTGTAGTTGTAGAACTGATAGAACCTCCTTACACACTCTTTACGAGCAGTCTCCGCAGCACATAAGACATTTCTGTCACTGTGATTTCCAGGTTGCATAAATGTGGAAATAAGCGAGTCCATAAAGTGCGAGACCTTCACAAACAGCAAAGGCTTCTCCGGGTGATAGCAGTCGTCTGGTCCGTCAGACGCCACACCAACAAGAGTCCACCGGCCGTTATTTTCGTACATCAAGGGTCCTCCGCTGTCTCCCTGAAAATAAATTATCAGAAATTTTTGACCTCAATGGCTTTTTTTATATTAAACAGAAAGATTTTATTTTCTGTTCATGAAACAAAACACGTTTCTCAACCTGATTTACTAGCAGCACTACTGCTAATGTTACAGAAACAAAATACAGACAAAGAATTAAAGAACGGAGAAAAAGTTGTTGCTTCTAAAATAATGCATCCATTCGAGATGCTTGCTTGTTGACCACAAAGGTCAGACAGAATTATACTTTTCAATGCGTGCCATTTTAAAAGCAGTAAATATCCCCCCTTGTTCACGTAACCTTTCAATATACCTGCCTTGATATTTCTAGACAGAGCATTGGAACTTAACCTTTACGAAAATGATTCATACTAAGCTGCACAAATGTTGGTTCTTAAACTATTTCCCATGATAGTGCAGAGATTCGTCCCCCTACCTCGTGTTTTTCTTTAATTTTTATTTACAATATTCACAGTATGGTTCACTTCGGTCTGAACATCTCGTCTCTACTGCCCGCGATCCTGATTGCCTAAATTGCGTAATCGCCTTGACTCAGGATGAAAGTAGCAAGCTGAGCTCAGCAAAAACAAAGGTTCTGGACGTGTGTGCCTCGTCAGTGCAGTTGTCTTTTGTTACCGGGTCACCGCAAGTACCCCCCCCCCCCCCCCCCCCCCTAGTGAGCAGCCGGAGGTGACGAGCTTTTACGTCCCTGAGGAAGCAGTTGTCGTGAGGTTTCATCGATTTTGTCCCGACTCAAGTTGCATGGATTGTCCGTCTGGAGCTGAGCTTGTCGAGGTCCTCGAAACGGTATTGCATCTTGTACACAAAATCGGAGTGAGGCTGGGCAGCCTGAACACTGTCTAACGAGACGACTTTCTCGTTGCCTTTTATCAGAAATGTCATAGTTTTGACACTGCGTCTTAGCACCTGAAACGGTCCATCGTATGTGCGCTGTAGGGGTTGCTTGACTCCGTCATTTCTGAGAAAGACATGTGTACAGAGTAGAATATCAGCCCGAATAAACATGTAACGTGTCGACGGTACCCTTGTGTAGGTAGAACGGAGGTCCTGCTTTAGGATACGCAGTCCTTTTACATAGTTTTCGGCACTCTCAATTTCGGTGTCACTTGCTCGGTCGAAGAAGTTTCCTAGCAGACAGAGTGACTTGCCGTACATCAACTCGGTCATGCAATAGTTGATATTCATTTTGAAAGCTGTTCGTATATCGAACATGACTTAAGGTAGGGCTTCCGTCGGCGCAGTGCTGTTTTGCTGAGCCTAGATTGTGGCGATGCAAGCAAAAAGCTGAGCTCACCGAAAACCAAGGATCTTGAGCTGTGTGGCTAGGTCAGGGCAGTTGTCTCTTGTTACCGGGTCACCACAATATTTATAGAACATAAGCGAAATTAAGTAATATTTTTTATAGCTAACCATGTTTTTAGTATTTCCAATCGGGAGCTGTTCTACTGACCTTTAAAAGAGAAGCACGTAATTTTATTAGTGCAGTGGACTGTAGCCCCTAACTGAACGCATAACGACGTTGCCCTCTAGATCACAAGCAGGCGGCACTTCTAGACTTAAAATACGTTATTATACTCCGTTTTATTACAAGTGCGAGCGAAAAACAGGCTACAATAATACGCTAACGTTTTCCTTAGCACGTGTTCCCAGCAAACACTATTGAGAAAAAAAATGTCTGTGAGGCCCACTAGGATTTCCTGAGAGGACATGAGAGGCCCGCCAAGATATTTTTTTAGGGGTGGGCGGATATTCGAAATTTCGAATACAAATCGAATATTATACATTCAATATTTGTATTCGATTCGTAAACTAAGTCTTTGGTATTTTTCGAATATTCGTCGTAACACGAATATTCGAAATTAAACGATTCGAGAACGTATTTGCAAGCATAAGTTTTGCTCTGTTTCATTTTCGATAAGCAAGGCCGATTGACAGCGACATAGCTGCATGGTGGCTTCGACCTAAACTGGTGGCATCGGTGTCGGTAGCGGTAACCTGCGAATTTCTGTTCCCTTGTGACTCCTGACTTTCTAAAACTGTGATCAACTTCGCATTCGCCCTCCGGGGTTATGGCAGATGGAGGTGATTGCGGGGAACCGTCTGCGTAGCGGACGAACGAACGGGAAACGGCACCTAAACGAAGAGGGAGGAGTGCTACTTGGACTTATTTTGCGAGAGTGACGGCATCAATGGCTCAATCTACGGCTTGCGAGTCAACACTTAAAACGCCCGCGGTACGACAACGCCCATTGTCAACCATCTTAAAATACATCCTGCGTTGTTGAAAGAGTATCATGGGATTACTACTGGTACGTCAAGAAAAGATCAACCGACGCTGACGGACTTCGTGCGCCGCACGAAGCCCCTGTCAGAGAAGAGGGTGTGAGCGTTGAATAACAAGGTGGCCGCCATGGTGGCGCTTGATTTACAGCCTTACAGCATTGTGGAAGACTGCGGCTTCAAAGAACTTCTGACAGAGGCCGTTTCCAACTATCGCCTCACACGCGCGAGAGTGTAAAGCGGGATGCTTTACACTCTCGCGCGTGCTAGTGAAACTAATATATGACGACACCCGAAACAAGGTGAAAGCAGAGCCAGTGATTTGGAGGCGACGCTATCGCTGTTGCCTTCACAAGCGACATGTGGACATCGCGCGCTAACGAAAGTTACGTGAGCGTCACCTGCCATCTTCTCACTCCAAAATTCATGACGACGTGGTTCACCTTGAACACTCGACATATGGCCGCCTATCACAGTGATGTGAACATCGTAACTATTCTGGACGAAATATGCCATGACTGGGAGATACCCGATGAATGTGCGAAGTTCATCGTAACATATAACGAGCGCAACATCCGTGCTGCGGTAAGTAGACTTCAGGGAACTGAAAGAGGGTGCATCGAGCATATGCTTCAACTGGCGATTAATGACACGTGATTCCGTTCGACGGCCAGTGATCGCCTGTGCAAAAACGTGAGGCATGTTGTGGGACATTACAAGCACAGTTCATCAGCTCAAAAAACGCTTGGGGAGTGCCAAAAGAAAACGGGAAAAAACGCACTACGTTTGGTGCAAGACGTGGAGACGAGATGGAATAGCCAGTCAAAGAACTCAAAGAAGCAGTCACTCTGGAGCTTGCTACCTCGCACTGTAACATCGATGAACTTTCCAATTGAAAACGAGCGTGTTGGTTAATAGATACAAAACTTGAAAGTATAAGACAGAGAGGACGAGGACGGGAAGAGGAATCTTTCATTTAGCAACAACATAGAATGGCACAACGATAAAACCGCCCCCCAAAAGTCTCAACGTTTTCCAAGAGGGAAAGGAGATACTAGTTATAAAGGAAAGGGAATACACTAAATATAAAAGATTGGAAAGCGCATCACTATTCTAGTGATGCGCTTTTCAATCTTTTATATTTAGTGTATTCCCTTTCCTTTATAACTAGTAGCTTCTTTCCGTCTTTGAAAACGTTGAGACTTTTGGGGGGCGGTTTTATCGTTGTGCCATTCTATGTTGTTGCTAAATGAAAGGTGTCCTGTTCCCGTCCTCGTCCTCTCTGTTTTATAATTTCAAGTTCTGTATCGATGAACTTGGCTGATCAGAGTGGAATGATGCTTCTGAATATGTACAAGCATTGAAGCCACTGTTATTGCCAGTGGTGAGAAGTATCCGTCTTTGTCTTCCGAAGTTCCTATAATTTTTGGTATGCTCCACTGTCCAGGTAACTATGCTGGGGCATCAGAATTTCCCACAGACCAGATAAGATTCATCAAGGTAAGGTTCACTGAGTATGAGGAAGACAAGAAAGCATGCCCTGTTATGTTCTTAGACCCACGCTTCATGTCGTCTATTTTCAAAGCCGAAAAGGAAAAACTACTATGGCTAAAAGCTCTGTAGCTGCCATAGCTAGCCTCATGTGATGCTACTGACAAAACCCAGCCGGGAGCTGCTACGCAGTCACAGGAGCAAGGCTTTACTCAGTCAGCAGATGTTTGGCAAACATTTGACCGCTTAGCCAAAAGTGCAATGTAAAGCAAAGAGGTTTCAGCTTCAAAATGGGAAGTTGTGGCGTATGCAGAGGAGGCACTGATGAAGAGAGAGAGAGAGTTCTCCGTGTGAGTGGTGGCGAACTGTCGGGTACTTAAGATATTCGAGTCTGGCGAAGCTTTGCATCAAATACCTGGTAATCACCCGCCACTTCAGTGGCGAGTGAGAGATTTTTTTTCTGTGGCTGGAGGTGTAGTTTCCGCTCGAAGGGAGCACCTCCTACCTCACCATGTACAGCAGTTGATTTTTCCGCGTGAGAACTTGTAATTTTCCCTACAACTAAATTTTTTTTTGTCAAGATTACAAGTTGTCATGCAGAAAAATCAACTGCAGTTCTGCCATTCAAAACAAAGAAAAAAAGAAAAAGCAAAATTAACTGCAGTTCCCACATGTGAAAATGAGAATGCTGTGAATAAATGCACCTGCCTTCGGCTATTCGATACTCGATTCGATATTCGAGGCTAACTATTTGTATTCAATTTGTATTCAAAAATATTAATATTCGCATACCCTTAATTTTTTTTTTCTGAGAGCCGTGTGTTCCTTGAAAATTGTTCTAAAAGGCCTGTGTGGCCTTTCATGGTTGTACTCAAGGGTCTGTGAAGCCCACTAGACTTTACGGGGAGGCCCTTGCAGAAATCATCCGAAGACGGGAGTGCGTCAGCGTGCTGTGTTCATCGGCAGTACGCGTCGGTGACACGATTGCGTAAACCTGCTGTGTCGCTGCGTTTATTTGTCCATCGTGTAGACGCAATAGGAAGAAAATATTGCTTTTATAGAGACTCACTGAGTGCAGATGATGCCCACTTATTGCCGCTTCATTCGGAGACCGAAGTCCATCGAGCTAGCTTTATAAAACGATCTCGCCTCGAGAACTTGGTGGCACGAGTTGGCCACCCATTGGCTCAGCTGCGCGCCCAGCAACG